TTTTTTTTTCATTCTACAATCACGATTAACGCGTAAATTCAATTCTCTCGAAACTGTGACGCTGGGCATTTTTCCTTGGAGCCGCAGACACTCTCAAGATACGTAAATCTTTAGAAAGCTACGAGAGAAGAGACCAATATCACCGAATCAATTAGATCTTAATGCATCTGTTGGCGTACCGGAGGCTTCGCCTTTCACAAAATTATCTCCCAGCCCCTTCGGGGCAAAGAACGTATTACCGGCGCACGACGAGTGCACCTCGTAAATCACTCGTAGTTCTGCAACACGTTGAAGGCAGAAAAGAGAAACAATGTTCGACCGTACGTATCTGCACGCAGGTGCGTATCAAGCGGAGGACCATCGTGCAGCTTTCTCTCAATTTACGACTCGAAACACTCCACAATAAGTAAAATTTCATTCATCCGAATTTACAAATAGACCGCGAGTTTCCACGCATTATGAGAAATCTGAAAGTGTAAAAGTACACACGATGCGTGAAATATGCAAAAATACATAAAACATTCGAAGCGCAAATCTGAAAGTGCGAAAAATACACGCGATGTATGAAGTATACATGTATATGCAGAAATATATAAAATATTCGAAGTTGAATATGGATTTCAAATGAAAGATATGAATCCACGAAAGCGTCCAATTGAAAAGTTTCATTTTCAATAACGTAAAAACGGCACCCTCTTCTTATGAATCCGAATGCGAAATGATCTATCGTCCGAGAATTGATTATTTATTCTCTCGTGCAACAAGAATTTACTTTCTAATTGACACAAACAGAAAGCTTCGATCCACTCGTGACCATAATCGTAACTTCTCCTTATGATCCGAGGATCGCTCTCCATGTGTGCCCATGGAAAATTCACGAAACAATTACCGCAGTAAACACCATCAACAGATTTTGAAGCAGCTGTTGAAAATATCGGCGGGTTGCAGTAGGAGAGAGTGTATATCGATCGCACGTGGAAGCGTAGGTCTCGGTTTGCTGCCCGTTGGATCGAGCAAAGCAGAACCAGCAACAAACGTGAACGCGGCACAGGAAGTTGATACGAACTGAGCACCGGAGCACCAGGGACACCCACGTGTGACAAGGCATCGCATAATCTGCCGGACATTTAGCGTAGGCAGGCTAGCCGCGATGGCTGCAGGTGCCTCACGATGAGACAGGTGAAATTTCATAGGCGAGTAACGCGATTAATCTGACGACGCTCCGAGGAAAAGTTTCAATTACTGTTGGTGCGCGGGAAAGCATGGAAAATCGGGATGATCGATGGGAGTGCACGGGACCGTTAACGCGACCGTAGGACAGGACTGATGGATATCCAGAGATGGGATTGAGTACCTCGCAAGTAGGTTCGTAACCTTTAGTCGTAACAAAGGATTTCAATCCGTCATAGCGTGTATAATGAACAATTTTTCTTGTTAAATCAGAACACTTGCAACGAATGCAGAGAAATGTAACTAATCCTATGAGTTTATGTGCAGCAATGTGTAAACTTTAAATATAATAAATTAAGTTTATTATGTGTATTTATATATTCTTTATATATTTTATATATACTATAACCTAAACCTTAGAAATATATATATATATATGTATCCTACGAAAGAACAGTATAACGAATCTTACTTTCGAATCTACTCGTTCTTGAATTCGATACTACCAAACCAAGTAGAGTTGTACGTGGAACTGTAATTCTCTTACACTCGTGACTTACAATAATTAGCAATTCAGCTGGTTGCAACTGCGACAGACTGAATTGAAATACAATGTAACGAAATTACGTAATTTAATCGAAGCACAATTCAATTAACGCGATTGTGATTGCAAGCGTTCGCTCGTTCGGACATTCGATTAATATTTAAAACCCATGGAACTTGTTGATATTTGCAAGCACAATCTTGGACGCACGATCTCATCTCCGACGATATGTCTGAGAATCGTGTTCGCTCGCGTCGTCTAATGAATTTTTCTCCCATCAAGCGGTCGTCGGCAAGTGCAAGGCACCAGAGTTTGCAGAGAGAAAAGCGAGTTCGGCGCGAATTTCGAAAGTAACGAGCGATGGCGATATTAGGGGGAGAAACGATGTTGCTCGTTAAGTATTCACGACAAAACTACATTTACCGAGAGGCAGGCCTGATCGTCATGGTACGAACATTAGGTGTACTCGCGAGGATACTCGGGTAGCTGCGTGACTTACAAGTCTCCAGTCTATATTTCAACGGGCATTAAAGTCGAGGTCGATTCCATCGAGAGACGCTGTTCGAAGCGTCCGATCATTACACCCGTTATAAGCTGTCACATAGTTCATCTCACACACGCCACGCTCTTGCCACACACTGATACACCCCGTCCCCCCGGCTACTTTGCCATTTTTTTCGATTTTGTAATCAGCCCGAGGCGCGCATCGAGGCCTAACATACGCGCGCGCGTCACTTTCTTAAAACGATCCGCAGTTAAAAACCGTGCTGTTTGTAATTATACTCGAGATACGTATAAATTAGCGTAGGACCAGTCAGTGGGATATTTGGACCGAGCTGAACTGAGTTTCATCAGTGGACTGCGGATTTTTGTTCATTTGTGGATGAAAACTTGGAGATGCAACATAAGTGAGTAGAATTAAATAAAATATTCAAAATGTAATGTATAATATTCAACACTTTGAGTGCCAAATATTTATAATATATTTATAATATTTATAAATATAATATTGAATAAATTAAATATATATATTTATTTATCTATGTTTACAAATGCAGAAATCCGCATTTCAGTAATAAAATCGTCTCCCAAAAATGGTAGACGTGGCACTCAAAGTTATTTGTTAATAAGTGAAATAATTTTACATTCTCCATATTTTAAATAATCTCTGTGAAAATTGCAATCTGCTCATTAGTGATTGGTTAATTTAGTTTTATCGACTATTCTTGTATTCGAGACTAGACTGTTTGGCTTGTTATCAATGAAATTGTGTATATTAATCCATCAAGGATTGAAGACTGATTTATCATAGTGTTACAAATACAATTATAAAATCTAGGTAGAAGACACAACGATGAAGAATTTAATATTGAATTTAAAACTGATGTTGAATTTAAAATATTTAATGACATGAATTAACTAAAAAGTATTGTAAACGAAGTCCTTAATGGATTAAGAAGTGGCTACACACATCAACGAGGAGATAATTTCTACTTTTCAAGAGGAAAGACGTTCATTTCACTAACGTTAAAATTCTCAGTTGTAATTATCACGGTCCAGTATAATTTTTACGTGTGTATAATTACTCTTTCTTTTTTATTTTCTTACGTCCAACTAACTTTACGGCAGGATACTAACATATTTTACTATATACTTATCTCGTTTTTGACGTTTATCTTTTGTTGAATTTAAAGTATGTAATATCTTTTTATTCTTGAATTACTATATTAACACTAACAGTGTCTTATAATTACTCTGCACAGAATATACACAATGTACATAAATATACAAAATAACCAAGTTTTCTTAAATTATAAATTATATAAATCACATATAATAAATTTATTATATTCCAAATTATTTCAATGTTTCTTTAGTCCATTAAAAACTCTTGCTCTTATACAGCAAGTGTAACTATTATATATAACAAAATTTAACTATTCTGTGCAAAATCGGGGACCGTTTTCCAATCAATCACGTTCATAAACCGAGTGCCTAAATCTCTAAACCGACTGACCTAAAACCTCGAGCTCATGAATGGTGTAACCGTGCAACCGCGTGCTCGATTATTGAAATGAAAGTTACCGGCACGGAGATCTACATGTACGTGGACGTGGCTTGATCGGCAGGTGATCGGATCGAGAACACGAACGACAGCTTCGTCCGTCTGCAGACGCGGCAGGGACTCGAAAGGTTAACCGAAGATGATGTTCTTGTACACCGTTGCGTCACCAATCGCGAGATAGGACTTTCACTGTGCACGAGCACCAGCACCAGCACCAGCACGATCACGATCTCTCGTCTTCCTCGACGAGGCAGCAAAAAGAGATGACGGGGGCTTCGTTATTGCTTCGAGATCGTTAAGGTCAATTACCATGGTCGATTTCTCCGACGCGAGAAAACGCCCTCGCCGTAATTCGTCAAAGGGGCACCGGTCGGAAAAACGACAGTTCCTTTTCACCGCGAATGAGCGTAATAAGAATTAACGACCACGTGCGATTAATTAGACGCGTATCCGCAGGAGAGAATTCGCTTGAAATATTCCCGACATATATCAGCACCGCGCTGAGTGGCTCGTTAGAGTATTGGGATATTTGCAGACATTTTGTACGAACATTCGTGTGCATTAACTTTTGTTTGTTAAATATAAATAGGTAAACTTTTCTCAATCCATACAGTATTATAACGATATATCGTTGAGGATTAATTCATTTATTCTCACTTTCAGTAGTTAACATTTTGTAAATATTTTGTAATTATTATCATTCAATTTGTATTCTTTGCTGAATTTTTTTTCTGAAGCCTTATCAAACTACAACAATTAGGCTTGGTATTTTTCGATATTAGAAGGATTCATTTCTAAATGTTGACAATATTTTGACAATTACCTACGTTTGTTTGAATAAAAATGTGATCTTCCATGGAATTTCTATGTATTCAATAATTACTTTGCTAAATAATAAGAACTCGTAATTAATTGTACAGTAGATTTCGTGATTTTTTTTTGTTCCGAGTTATTATCATTGCTCGATGATCAAAAAATAAGTCAGAGCTCATGCCAAAAGTTCTCATATCTCTTTAAACATTTAAAATTTGGCAGGTGTGTACAGACTTTTATCACAAACTATAAATAATCACACAGTACACCGTGTTCAATTTACTTTCATGAGCTACTATACACATACTACTAATATCAAACAACGAGTATGTATTTCAGCAACCTATAACTCGGTATACTAAAAACTGAAAATCGTATGGCTACTTGAACAAACTATATACAACCACAGCCGTATCGATTTATCAATCATTCGTATTTTAAAGAATTGTTCGAAGTATTGTCCTTCCCTTAGCTAGCTCGACTTAACTACTGAGATAATTCGATCGTTTTACAAGCAAACATCGTGTCTCTACTTCATGCAGCTATTAATAACTTACCGGTAGAAGAAGCAACGAGGACGGGGAATGCCTGGCCGCGGCTTGCCTAAGATTGAGAAAGTGCAGTAGGGGGTCCTCGGATGCTCTCAGCTCGTCCAGAATCCTCCTCGCCTCGCCGTAGCTCTCCAGGTATTCCCAGTAAGAATTCCAAAACGAGCCAGGGAATAAGTCACCTGATGGACACACCGAACCAGGCAATTAGAAGCCGTATTGAGCTTGGTATACACACGGTGCTTGACGAATTCGATAAATTCTCGTTCCGATCGTCCCGAGAACAGAGTAAATCGTGAGCTCGTTGACCCATATTCTGACGATGGTCCACGGTATGAAATATAAGAGAGAGAGAGCGGGTTAATTATACGAGGAGACACACTGGAAAGCCATGCAAAATTTATCCGCGATGATGGAATACCCGTGAACGCGAACCTCACGCCCGAAATCATCTTCGAAGTGATTCGATCCAGCAATACATCATCTCGCTATCTTCCCTACGAAACTCGTTTCTGTTTGAGGATCCCTATCTATCTTTTTCTCTCTTTTCCGTTCTTTCTCGTCTGGTGGAGTCTTCACCATCACGGAAGAGAGCCTTCCACGGACGTTCACGCACCGAGAATGTGATTTACCATCGAATTTTTCCCTCTTTTTTTTTTTCTTTTTCTTCCTACATATCCTTTCTCCGATTCCACTATCCCGACTTGATCTCGTCACAGACGTCCTCACGTGGAGGATTTATCATGAATCATACTGATTTGGAATTTTTTATTTTTATTTCTGGAACTACCAAAACTTTATTTAAGCGTTTATATAATGCAACGCGGTAAGGACGTGAATTGTACATCGGTGGTACAAAGTCAATTGCATTTAAAAATGAAATATTTCTTAGACATGGTGGTAAATTATTTGTGATATTAAACTTCATCATCGCCGGTGCATCAATTAAGAGAAATATTGTATAATAATTAGGGAAAATGATGACTTTGACAACACTATTTCAAAAGTTTTTTGAAGATATTTCAATTAATTTTTTAACGAAATGTCATTTCCATATGAAATCTACGGAATAACTACACATTTGGCTTTCGCTCATTACCTAATTTTAGAAAAATTAGATTTTTAAATCGAAAGAATTGTTTCCATTTCCAACTATAGTGTATATGAAATGTTTATCTGACAACCGAATTTTAGATACAGTCAAGAAAGAATAAGAATATCAAAATTTCATTTTTTACCCAACATGAACATTCGTTTAATTTTCTTATATAAAGAAAGATGAATTTAAAGCATGTTAAGAAGAACTATTTCATTTAAATAATTTTGCACGAAATATAGTTAATTTAATATTAATTATTAACAATACATTTTACTCTATGAAGTCTCAAATTCTTAAACAGAAATAATCATGTTGTAATTAAGTAGGTTTAGAATTTTAATAGATTGAGTCACATTCTTCTAATTCTGATAAATTTAAATAACAATATGATTATTCAGGCGTAAAATAAATGAAATCGCGTGAGAATCATTTTGATTAATATTACAAAGAAACTATTAAAAAAAAAAAAAAAAAATTTCGTCTGAAAAATCAACATTTCATACGCACCAATCTAATACATATTATACAATAATAGCCCTTCTGTTTGGTCATAAACTGAACGTTAAGAGCCGACAAATCGACAAAACAATCCTCTGATCTTCTATCTATAGCCGGTACATCTAAATAAAAATCCGATAAGGAATAAAAGCGTGCACTCACCAGATTTGAAGGTACCGCCGTCCCAATTCTCGAGCGCTCCGCGGATCTGAAAGAAAGCAAAACGGCCGCGGTAGAATTGGCTCTTAAAATACAATACAAAAGCTGCGATACGATAGAACGGGGCCAAAAGGGACACAGGGGGCCATGTATAATACATGAAGCATAATGCACGAACGAGTGGGGCTCGGAGGGCGCCCGTACGCCAGTTTTATACAACAGGCGAGTTTCAGCCGATCATTTGATTACTTTTTTACAGTCCTCGGCTCTCAATATCCCTCACCCGACAATTGATCTTCCTCGTACGAGGGAGATACGATATCCTCGAGGAGAAGAACGAAAGCCTCGCAGCAAAACACGAATTAGGTGATGGAGAAAAAAAAAAGGAAAAAAAAACTGAAAAACACGTGACCGATCCCCGTGCAATTGGATTCTCGATCGAGATCGACGAATCACATTGTTTTTACGGTGTTTCGAAGGAAATGACGATCGGATGAAAGTGTAGAGAGAGAGAGAGAGAGAGAGAAAGAGAGGTTGGTGATGATATTCTTTTTTCAAATGTACCAAGTACCTTTGGTACATATTTGTGGTCCGATCCGATGGATTTGAATAGCAGCGAGGCTAAATCATCTTCCTTCGAAACGAGCTTGCCTGTTGAATTATAACGCGGCATTATGTCCAATCAGGGCATCACCGCATCGAATGGAGCACAACCGGCCATGAATAACGCTCGGTAACTCTTAAGGCTCTTTCTATCAGCCGATGAAATCCTCTTCGAATAATAGAAAGTAAATAAAAAGGGGAAAAAATCGATTGCTCGTCGATGTTAATGTTGGAATAAATCTTCTCTTTCAATGGAACAATTGGTTGTTCGTTGGGTATTAATTTTGTATTATCAAATTATGTCCTGTAACCAGGGTATAAATATTTATGACACGACTAGAAATTTGTTTTATATTTTATATGCTAGAACTACCGACGATTAAAACAGAAAATTTCCGACGGAGACATTGAAGCAAAAAGATAGAATTTATAATATAATACGTAACTTTCTATCACTCGTACATTTTACGAAAAATGATTGAAATCTACAAATATACTTTTTTACGCTTGTAAAGTGTCTAAGAAAAATTATAAACTGGTCATTTCGACCACTATTGGTAGTTGTAGTGTTAAAATATTTAAACGAATATTTTAATTTATATGTTTTGTATACCTTTGCACATTTGAATTTTACATAAATATATGATATTCATACTTAATTAACGTACAAAGTATATCTTCACACTTTGATATAATTTGGCATAGAATAATTGTTAGAGAGACAGAAAGAAATTAAATTTCCTACGCATCGATCAATCAAATTATTAGCTATTCTTCGCCTGTTCAACTAACACTTAAACTTTATTTTCATATTTTATTCAATATTTATACATTTAGTATTTTATTCAAAGCCGATATTTATAAATTTATTTTAATATCTTATTCAAAACCGACAATGGCGACTGGATATAATACGTGCTCGATGAACCGATCAACCCTGCAGATACGTGAACCTCGTAAAGGTAAGACCGACACCCACTTAACTCTTTAACGAGTAACATTGTCACGAGAATCCACTTAACCGATACGTTTCCATTACAGTAAAGGCAAACGATTGGCCTGAACAGTGTGTATAAGTGGCGAGACGCTCGTAAAGCAACGGTAACGACAGTTGTGTCAATCGGCGTGTTAATAGTTAACTTCGTCGAGGCTATAAAATTGGGAGAAAGTCGTGTAAATAAAATCTGATGGACATGTGGTAGTCGTCGGTATATTATTATTTGTATTTCGACAAGTTGTTACAACGAATGAAAATGTACATTGTGTAGTTTCAATCACGGTTGAGCATATTTTATTCGAAATAAAGCTGATTATCGTTTCTATTAATTTCTTATTTTTTACTTCAAAGATAATGTATAGGAAGCAACTGTATTTTGCTTTCAAATCAAATCGCTTGCAAATCTGAAAACTGAAATAAAATAACAAATAATGATGTTTTCATTGTTCCTCAGGAATCGAAGGAGAATTTTTATATTAATGTTGAATAGATTAGTTGTTAATCGATAATACGGAAGAGACAATAAATCAAGTCTGAGTATTATTTGAAAAAATGATTTAAATAATACATCGTCTTATTAAACTTAATCCTAATATGAAATAATTCTGTTTAGTTGAACAAACAAATGATTTTTTAAAAACGATTTGTCAAATAAACTAATTTTTTATTCAATCTTATACTTCGTATCTCTTTCTAGAAAAAATTTCTCAAATAGTTTCTGATTCTATCGTATAAATCTTTCCTTCTACCGGGATTATTTCGATGAGTTAACTCAAATTTTATTTTGACTCCCAAACAAACTCGTCTTTTCCTATAGTTGTTATTTCTTAAATAAAAGCAACAAAAATAGTTGAAATCAGGTTGATAATCTCAAATTGATGTTTTTCAATTTATTCCGTGGCCAACGCCTGGATTCGACTCCGTTTCAGATCACGTTCGGCTGGGACAAGCGATTATCGACGATGCCCGGTTAATTGCCTGCGAGCTACAAATACGTGTCTATCACGGACACCGTGTAATCATAATAAAATTGCTCGCCTCTGTGCGCAGTCTCGCTAACGAACGAATTCGTTGCGCTTTAATTGCTACGTTTTGCGTAGATCGTCGTCCGTCCAACGTAGAAACGTCCATAAACGATCATTCGCATTTATTACCGATTTTAGCATGCAAGTTAGGCCAAGCACACGTGCAACCGGTACTAACGCATCGTGGCAAGCATCTCTGGCACGTGCTTTCGTGGCAAATAGACGAGAGAAAGAGGTGACCGCCGGTTTAGGCAATGGGTCGTCAACCTTCTGTTATCCGCACCTTAAAAAGACAGCCTAAAATCACATATGACCCGTCGAATCGTAAAGAACGCGATAACGCATCTAAAACGGGACGGTGAACACGTGCTCGTGCGCGGGTATTTGAAATTACTTCATTCTTTACGAATTTTCCTCGATTAATTCTGAAACAATCCGATGAGAAAGCATCTCGGGTTAGAATGAAGATCTAACACGGTTAAGAATCTGTGGATTTTTACATATTTACATGGGAAATTGAAGAATGAGAAAAATTATTGGACTGGTTGTAAATTATTATTATAATTTAAGAACAATGAAAAATTTTCTGAAGTAAAATTGACAAAGTATTGATATATATATATATATATTGATAGTGTAAGTTCGTGTCTTTTTTTAAATGATCGAAAATAATTGCTAGAAAAATTAGTAGATTGACAGAGGATATTAAAATGAGAAGAAATAAAATAAGAGATAAAGAATATTAAAATGAGCAGAAGACTAGAAGAATGTTAAAAGAATGCGAATGCGATTGATACAACTATATTGCACAGAGAACGCACAGAATGAACAAAAAAAAAAAAAAAAAAAAAAAAAACGAAATATAAAACATCTCGTTCTCTTTCTTACATAATTCATAGTTACACGACAAAACGATACGATTAAAAATTAAATTTTGTACAAATTAGGGCACGCGTGACACGCTACAAAGAATTATTACATAAGAGAAAGAAAAGAATCGCTATTAGCACAGAACGATAACACAGAAGATACTTCGATGATCGCGAGGTTGTTTCAATAGTTAATAAATTCGTTTGAGTCCAAGAAAGGATTGGAAATGGCGTAAAAATTCGCCAGTCTAATTACAGCATTCCAAAGAGAGAGAGAGAGAGAGAGAGAGAGAGAGAGAGAGAGATGTTGCATAAGTTCCTCGATCGATATTTGCGATCAGTGATAAACGAACCGACGAGATAGACGAACGAACAGGATTTGAAATCAACGGGTGCCGCGATACACCGGTCGGGATACGCCGATGAATTCGAGAGAACGATCGGGGATGAATTTTCGCGGTATCATTCGTCGAGCCAAGGTACCGATAAGAGCGTATAGGAGCCCGTACAGGGTGCATCGTCAGCAAGAGATGACGGACCCCGCCCGAGCAAATTGAAAAAGGGGGATACCTGTTGCGTACGTTGGTCGGTTGCATTGTCAGGTCGACGACGGCCGATGACGATGCGCCGATGCGTGTCGATGTGTTTTCTCATTCAGTCAGATACGTATCTATGTTAAGCGCACACGCGTTGCGTGCGCCCATGCATTTATGCATCGCATTATACGCGCGGTGCGTCGACATATGATGCATGCGCCGCGACCCATTCGTTTCCGAGCGTTATCCTCGAAAAACCCAATCCTAGATTAATTATGAATTATTCATATTCACGAGACCAAAGTGAGGGAGAGAGAGAAAGAGACCACTTTGTAAATCGGTTTAGAAACCAACGAAGAGAGAGAGAGAGAGAGAGAAAAGGAGAAAAATAGCCGGCAACCTCCTCATTAAACCTTTCTCTCCATCAACATTCAACTTTATTTTCCGACGTTCGCCTCGGCGAACAAAACGAAACGACGTTCACCTCGGCTACCGTGGCTCGCCGCCACGTCAGATTATAATGCACGGCCGGTCGCGAGACAGAGACGAAGAGGATAGGGAGATCCTCCTTCGTATCTAGATACATACTACTACGTGGAATAGCGATAGATCATCGTGGCCGATCACCGATTATCTCCGAGAACCCGGTGAATATTACAGAGCCTGCGGAGTGTCCAATTTTTCGCTGGCTCTTCGTCTCTTCGTCTCCTTTCTCTCTCTCTCTCTTTCTCTCGTGCGCGCGCGCATCCTCTTGGAGGCGGTTTTAATTACACGTCGCGCGACCGCGATCGTTCCTTCGAGCCTGCAGATCCATCGACGAGGACGAGCATCACCGGCGGACGAGTACTACTCCAGAAGGCGTTCCCAAAAAAGCAGCGCAGACCGCGTGTTATTAGGGACTACGCGTGGGCGTTTTCATTCACCCATTATTATTTTATAGTCGCCCAGACAGTCTCTCTCCATAAAACTTTTTTACACCGTGTTCGAGATTGAAGATCGATAAACGGGGGATGTGCACC